CATGCCACAAGAGGTAGTCTGGAAGTGACTATGCTCGGTGGTATGGGTGGGCAGAGGTTCACGAACCGCACTAACAAACCATTCAAGTTGCAAACATGATAAACATGTTCCAAGCCTCCTGATATACATTGATATTTGATGGTCATTGCAGTCATTGCATGTTTCTACAAGGTGCTGGAGATGGGTGAAGCACAACCTGTTTTGAGATGATGTACACTGTTTGGTGAACACCAGCGGTCAACTCCACCAGTGCGTCATCTGACTATTTGCTTTGGGGTGGATGGTTTCGACTGACAGCCATGTTACTGTTCAAAGAGACTTGGAAGCCACCTCACTGCCGGGTCCCAGAGGGTCCCCATCGGTCGTCAGTGATGTCTGAAAGTCCGCCCGTTAACTTCATGGGGTTCAGGCGGTTCAGGGTCCTCACGAGTCCTCATGGGTCCTCTGTCCACAAGAAATCGAGTGCTTCTTAAGGCTGCTCCTGTGGAGCACCGGCATCGCCCAGCCGATGGACACGTTTGGGTCTTCCCATGCGGTGATGGACAGGAACTCTTAAAACCCCACAAAAAAGAGACGTGTCTTCTCAGGTATGGGCTCTGTGTACAAAGCAGTATAGATGCTGTCAAGGACCAGTGCACGAAGAACTTGCAGTTAGCTGAATCTGCTTGACGCAATCAACTGACTTATGTGGCCAAATCCAAAATTGGTCCTGAAAACCTCAATTGGCATAGAACACAGGGATCACAGCCTCACCCAGACTCACCCAGACCTGGGCCGAAGCACTCCTTCGAATCGCTGCTGTTCTCCGTCTTCGCGCGCCTGCATAGGTGAAGAAGCTACAAACATAGTGACCAAGACAAGCCAGCGAGCCTTAACGCCAAAGGAGCCAAAGAACACTCGGTCCATTATGTCCTTAAAAAAGGCCGCCTGACCAGCTGAGCTGACCTTCTCTCAGACCAGCATGACCTGGCCCTGACATCACCTGACTCGGAGAAGCAGCTGCAGTTTCTCCGCTGCTGGTGACAGGGCAACC